TTGTCTTTATTTACATAGAACATGTTACGTAAACACTAGGGGGCTGTCAATGTATTACCATGGGTGTACCAAAGTACTCACCGAGTAAAGTACCCCTCAAAAAAAAGTGAAATGTAAAATACCCGGGGTACTTTAGTCAGCGCTCTACGGTAATTATAATATTAGTGTCATGTTAGATATCAGTAATGTTGCAAAAGTGTTGCAATAGTGGAGAAGTTATTGAGGGGAAAAAAACCAATAGAAAGAATAAAGCCAAATTATGAAAGTAAAGAAAAGCAAGCAGAAACTATAATAATTTTAAAATTCCACAAGTAACAAGAGAAATTATTGAATCAAGTAATAGGATAAATAATGATAACTTGGACAAAAAGAGTGAGAAATGTGAGATAAACAAAACCCGGGGCAGAGAAAAAGGCAGATAAATCAAGGAAAAAATAATTAATCATGTTAATAATCACTATTAAGCCAAGTGTAAAAAAAAACAAGCAAAGAGATAGTTGTATGTTGATTAGGTAAAGACAGTAGACATTTTCTACAAGGAAACTTTTACTAGTAGGCTTTTAATCAAGGTGGTATAATATTATGGGGATTAACTACGGTTGCGTTTAAATTTAATTCTCCATCATTATTGAATAAAATTTTAAATATATATATTTCAAACTATTCTAACACATTTTGTTAGCGCCATAGTTGAGCTTAACAAGTAAATTTTTTTGTTACGCATCTGCGAATTAGACGTATAATTTACACCCGATCATTTATGGGCACTGTACATATTAAGTTTATATAATATAATTGTATATACAGTTAAACCTCGTTATACCGAAGCTGCCGGGCAGGCATTTATAATTCAAATGAGAAATTCGGTAAAATGAGACATTCTCTTTGTAACAAAGTTTATAGTAATGTTCGGTATACTGAGGTTTTTTGTAAATAATATATATATTTACTAAATTGTCAAATAAACACACGGAAAGAAAAATAAATCGAATTAATTAATAAAAAAAATGAATCTATTCTAGATTGTATTCTAGATTGCTTCTAACTTGTACCATTATGTAACTCTACCTTCCGTTCCAATGAACGAAAAACTTTGAGCTCATTGTAATCTAGGTAAAATGGTAGGAAGACTTGATGAGTTGTTTTCCTCGTTCTCCTTTTTGTCTATAGGAGAGAATAAAGATACTTTTATTATCCATAGGTACGTTCAACGATGACAAATATTGTGCAGTTAACGAAAACATATGAATATTGATATATTCGTGTTATTTATTATTAGCATCATAAAAATTACTATCACTATACAGTACTGATGACATCATACAAGAAATTTCATAATTGCTACAACCAATCATTGTTTGCTAATTTACAATCACATGATTAACTTCATTATACACCATATATGCACGCCCCTTGGGAATGAGCCTGAGCGTGCATATATGGAGGGTCATTTTATTGGTTGCACGTGACATACATTTTATTTATTCATGATAATAACGATAATAATAATAATAATGAAAGGCAAAATTAAAATACCCGTTTCTATTGTTGACTAAAAAAATTGTCTATGATTGTTTGTTTCTTTGCATTTATCAACTTTAAACCAATGTATGAATCAAGAACATTAACATGTTTAAGTAACTCCTTCGAACCTTCTTGCTGTTGCAAAAAGGAACGAACTAATTCTAAACTCTTTATCTGTTATAGCATCATTGGCATTGACTATTGCCGGTTCAGTACTGTCATCAATTTCATCAATTTGAACATCTGATGATTTTAATAAGAATCAATCAATTTTTTCTTTTGAGTAATTATTAGACAGACAAAGTTCAGGTTTCCACTTCTAACAAAGATGCTAATTAATGATTTTGATTACGAAATTCTTTATATGCAATTCATAATAATAATGCCGAACGCCAAAGGTAAACGTCTAACAAAGATGTTAAATGTATTTATTTCTTTCACGAACGATTACAAACTTCTTTATCTATCATTAATTCTTTATTTACCTGTTGATATTAAACGAAAGAATGATAAAGACCGTGTTCTTTCAAACCGTGCAATGCAGAATATAGAGGGTGTGCATATATTACTAACTCCCGAGCATATATGGAGTGTGTGCATATATGGACTGTATATATAAAGCGACTAGTACAATATACAAAAATCCTGCCCTTGACTTTGGTATACGGAATAACGAGGTTTACTGTACTATTAAAATTCGTATAGAGACAACTGCTTTGGTATAACAAATATTCTTATTATGTTCTAGAGAAGCATGGTTTGCAAATCATAACTGAAAGCAGTAGGTTGATAAAATCAATACCTTATGATAATATAAGTCATTTGTACAATAGTCATAATAAAATAATGGCAGAAAAATAATAATGACATCATCATCATACTGAATTTGGTTTGACATAGAGCTGGAACTTCTGGTATTGTCAGATTCTACTCTTTCCCATTAGTGTCACTATTTTTTGTCACACAGCTCGCATGCACTGCAAAACGAGATTATCAACAACGGAAGATTTATTTTATCCTGCTTCTAGTGAAAAGGAAAACTTTTCATGAGCAAATTTTCTTTGCTTTCACATCTGGTTCTATGTATTAAAGTCAAATCTATATTTTGGTTTGCAATAAGCATCCGTTTTCGAGGGAGAAAAAATTTTTCTTGTGAATTGAAGAATGTGTAACACACATATTTGTTTATTTATGATCCAGGAGTACTGCAGATAAATTAACTAACACATGATCACCACAAAGGATGTCATACATGAGACATAGGATTCTTTGATAAAGATTTATTATTACTTAATCGTTCTGTCCCAGCACAAAAATCTATAAATTTTAGATTTGTTAATTACTAATATTGGATAGAGAAAAAAGAACAATCAAGAAACAGAGAAATGCAAATCATGAGATTCATCCACTACCATCTACAAAACAAACTATCCAACAAAGTTCAGTAAAGTACCTCCGGTTTTCGAGGGAGAAAATTTTTTTCTTGTGATCGACGAATGTGGAACGTGGCTATTTGTTTATTTATGATTCAGATTCAGTTAGCTAACACATGATCGCCACAGCCTCTGGTAGAGGATGTTCCCCCAAAAACCATTCAAACAAATTGTTAATAAATTATATGTAAACTCAAATCATATTAATCGTTCTGTCAATTAAGTGCTGGAAACTAAGGGCAAAAAATTGTAAAATTTGTTATAAATCTATAATTATAGGCTTTGCTATACAGTCAACTCTGAAGAGCAAAACCAGTATATTAATATGCAACCAGACTTATGACAGTGAACTTGCACCAACTATTCATTTTGCAAAGTAATATATAATATATTGATAATTTTACTGACATAATAATCAAATTTCAATACATTGAAAATAAAAAGTGAATATACTAATATAATCTAACATTAGTAGACACCAGATGTGTTACCCACTGTGATATTCCGTTTTCCCGTGGTACTTGTACCGTTCTTTCCGAACAGAAATCACTATACCGATTTGTCCAAAAACTCAGATAGTCAATTGAGTGGCTATTGGACGTGGCGTGATGACACAATAACAACCCAATTTAGTAGTGATAATCAGATCAGGATCTAATTATAAACGCATCTCCTCACAACATCCACGACTCTCAGCACACAAAACATTCACTCTCAACACGAAACACAACATCCTCAACACCCACTATACAACACACATGTGCCGCTGCCACCCAGCACCATTATACCTCGTGCTTGAAGAGAGAGACGCCAATAGCCACCTATGGTATCGGCAGAACCAAGTGCTAGGGTGCGCACATACAACCTATGGAGAGTTGATCGAGCAGGCTGGAATAGAGGGTGACATTAATCATGTCAAGGTTGGTTGTTTTTTCTTTCTTTTTCTTTTTTATATTTGGTTGTTGCATTGTATGTTTATACTAATATTGTTTATAGTTGTTCGCAGATCTGCTTCCGATTCCTATCACCATCGCCCCGTGTCGGGAATATCCAAATATAGAGCGGAGGCCAATCGACCTGCCAATGGAAACCGGGACGATGCGGACTGTTCTTTTAAATATCACGACAAGAAGAAGGGTCATTACTCTAGCCCAAGCACAGTCCGTGAGCTAACAGACCAGCAAACACCGACGCCAATTACATCAATAACATCAATAATCAAGTCCCCCCGGCGAAAATCAAAAAAAAAAAAATAAAGGTTCTCTCTCTCTCTCGTCTGTGTCTGTCTGTCTGAAAGCTACAACGCGCAGCGATTGGTTTTTTTTAAAAAAAAAAGTCTCTCCCCTCCTCAGAAAGCTGCAACGCGCGGCGATTGGTTTTTTTTTTAAAAAAAAAAGAAGGTCTCTCCCCTCCTCGGAAGGCTGCAACGCAGTTATAATATAGTCTCTTCGTGTTTATGTATTTTTTTTTTCTTTTGAATTTGCGAAATCTATATTACCCATTGTTCCTTATTATAAAATATTGTAATTGTCGTTGGTACAGAAATAGCAGTATACCGTATACTACCGTGAATAAGCACCCCCTTTCGATCATATGAAAATGATCGGCAACCATCACGTAAATAATAAACTTTAGGGGGT